ATTTATCGATTTTCTTTTGTTTCAAGTTTCCTCTTAATTAGATTTTAAACATTTTTTTACAACTAAATTGGATTCAAGTTTTGAGTCAATTTTAAATTAATTTTTCATTGATTGAGTAAAGTTGTGAAAATCAGATTCTCTTCTAGATTCATGTTGAACCGCAATTACAAAACTGTATTTAGAAATGAATTTCAACTGAAAAAGGAACATTTCGCTTCAAATCGATTCTTGAAGGTTGACCTTTCATGTTGAAACATTCAAAGTTCATTTGAAAGTTTCGTTGAAAATGATTGAGCTAAATATAACTTGAGATGTGATGGAATCAAAAGTGTCTGCATTCCTGAATAATCTGAAGTTTCCTGTCAGTTCGCTGTTCGGTGAAAAATGAAAAGCAAATTCCATAATCAGAATTTTACCCAAAAATTCCTTTCCATTTTACATTTTCAATCATTTTCGTTTTCTTTTATCGATAAAGAATTTTCTGTATTCTTTCAGCAAATTTGGCCAATTAAAGGGTTAATTGAGGAAAGAATGGAAAAATCTGTCAATAATAAGAAATTAAATGATCAAATTGATCATTAGACTAACTCGTCTTTAGTAGCATTTAGTTTTAGATCATTTTAGGGGTTTAAAGAGATAAAATTGATATGTAATAAGATATATCTTTATGAATGTTGTTAGCAGGGAATGAGAGATGAGAGAGAAAAATAAGGTTAATAGTTTCTGTAAAGTAATGTTGAGTAGTGAAACATGATAAGGGATGAAGAGATGAGATTAGAGAAGGTGAATAAGATGAATGAAGTAAATGAATGAAGGGAATGAATGAAAGGAAGGAAACGGTAAAGGGAATGTTGAAATTGAAATGAGGATAATGAGAGAGTAAAAGTTACCTAAAAATGAATATGAAAAGAACTAGAAGAGCGAAAAAAACAGCAACATTATCCAAGGTTCGAAGCATTATAACCAATTGTCTCTTCAATGCTGGCATGAAACGAACCAATTTTAATATTCGCAACAAACGAAAGGTTCTCAAAACTGATAAGCCACTGCCAGAGTCTTCAATGAGCTCCATAATGCTGTAATGATAGTGTTGAGAGAAAATATTGAGAATCATGTTAATGGAGTGAAAAAAAGGTTAGCTGAATAAGAGCGCAGAGAAAATGCTTTTCAAGCAAAATTCAATGTTAATCAAATGGAGAGAAAATCATTTTCTTTTTCCATGAAAAATTTTCTTCTCTCTCCACTTATTTACTCTTATCACGCTATTGTAATGTTTTTGGTGAAAAATTTCATTGACTTTGAATCGGCACCTTTTTACCTGGTTATCTGATTAGACTGTTGAATGAAAATCGATATTCAACTTTTTATCAAATTTTGATTTGCATTTTTTATGGAAAAGTTAAGTTTATTTTTGGTTTTTGCTTTGAAAGGTTTACTTGCCTTACAAGGACGACGATTCCGTCGAAAACGTTGAATCCGTCGGAAATGTAGTGGAAGCATCCTTCGGCTAGGATTTTAAGTGCCATTTCGATGCCAAAGAGAAAGGTAAAGATGAGGTTGGACATTTCAAGAGCTTGTGTCAACTCGTCGGGCTGATTGTGATACTCGATTCCCATGGAAAGAGTGTTGAAAAGAATTGCTAGGAAAATGAAACGTTGAAAGTAACGATGGTTAACCAGTAGACGAAGGTAACGACGAACGAAACGTAGACAGATTAAAAGACGAGACTCGATGCAACATTCGCAGACTTGATCATCGTCGAGTGAATCCAAAGAGTTTTCTTCATCATCTGTGGCTACATCATCATCAGCCTCATCATCTGTTCCACCGGACCAGGAACATCGAGATCCATCTCGTTCTTTACAATTACTTGGACTTCCAGATGGCCCGATGGCGGCATTGGTACCACAGCCTGGAGAACCATCAAGTCCACTCATGCAAACGAAGAGACTTGCATCGCTAACATTGACTTCTTGGCCTTGGTGTGAGTTGTGAGGCTGATAGTGTTGAGCTTGTGAGGGTAACAAAGATGAGTCGATATTGGCTTGTCCTTTGCTTGGCCGTCGATCAACACTTTCTGATGTTGACTCAAAGCACTTTGAGCTTGATAATGGCACTCCAAGGTTGTTTCCCTGGGAACGAAATAAAGTCAACGTTGGTGCTGAACAATGGCGGGATGTTGACCGCTGGTAAGCAATCAGTTTGCTCGACAAGGGAAGATGTTGAGTTGATGGATAGGCAGGAGTAGATGCTAATGTGGGAGACTTTGATTGTGAACGATGAGAATGACGATTATTGACCAAATTGTCCGATTTTCCGTTGTAGTTTACTATTTGTTGATGATCTGGAATTTGGAATCTTAAATGATCCGATTTGCTGAATTTGTTTGGCAATTGTTGCATCAAATTGACTTGAACCGGTCTACTTGAAATGGATTCATCAACCATCTCATTGCATTCATTAACATTTGGTGTAATCATGGTAATGGACGAATAATGACTATTTAGGCGTCGCTTTGATTCCGGTGAGGTTAAACATCGATTATCTGATAAACTCTTTGATTCTTGATTATCATCTTTACCGGTATTTCCATTTACAGCTGATGATGAGGATGAACACTTTGTGTCGGAATTGGTGCTGTGAATAATTGTTCGAGAATTATCACAATTGCTATCACAAGAAGAGGTTATTGAACAAGATTGCTGGTGTTGATCATCAACGGCCAATGAATTTTTTCCTTCCACAGATTTAAAAGTTAAATTTCGTTCCTTGTCACTTATCAGTTTATCAGTTTCCAAAGTTCCCTCATCAAGATTTGAACATGACGGATGGTCTGAACAGCCAGAATGACTGTGTCTGTGTTTACAAGATTGACGATGATTTCGATGATGTCTGGAGAAGAGAAGAAAAAAAATTCGAATTGTAACGAAAGTTTAATTATCAGATTTTTTTCATTTGCTTAATTCCAATGAACTTACTTTGCATTGTGATGATAATGGTGATGATGGTGATGGTGGTGGTAATGATGATGACAGTGTTTGCCATGATGATTACCATGGGAATGATTACGGTGTGAATGATGGATTAAATTGGAATTATTATTGTTATTGGAATTATTGTTGGCGCTGTTGCTACAATTGTTGTTATTGTTGCAACTTCTAGAGTCTTTTGAGCCGAAACACTCTGTGTCTGAATGTGATGCTATCACAACAAAAGCGGATCGATTACCATTGTCGGAGGTTCGAGTTGCCCCAGACGGTGTTAATCGAGAGCACAAAGGTTCTAATCTTTGAGTTGTTCCGTGTTTACCTAAGCGCCGTTTACGCCTTCGATATTCTCTATAATAGCGCCACATTTTTCGCTTAGCACGACGACCAAGGTGAGCTAAATATTTAATTATTGCATCGTAACAATTGGTTGGTTCCGACTCTGATCCACTGGCAAGGGAACTGTTGGAGTTTGAAGCAAGTCTGAAGTTGTAGTTTCAAAAGTAACCGACAAGAAAATGGACGACACCAAAGACACAAAAGACAACACATAAAACAGAAGAGAAAAGAAGGCAAAAAAAGAACAGCAAGCAACAAAAGTAACATCAATGATTAAGAGAATGGATGGGATTTGACAAGATGGACACAAGCTGGAAAAGAGCATTTCATTTCATCATTTCAATTCTTGAAATCGATTCGTCATTTTTTGACAAATTTTCCTGATTCTAGTATTTTTTATTAAATTACTGAAGATGAGATCAGTTGAGTGTTACTGTAGACTTTTATGAGGTGAACCAGACAAGTTGAGACATTTTATTGCCAATGGTAAATTAATAGCCACTTGAACACCAATTTCGCATTTCAAAATTTAGTTGGAAAAAGTTTTGTTGATATCTGCATTGAAATGAGTATAGATTTTTTGTTCTTTAGCAGACAATGACCAGAGTAATAGTGACGGAATCGAAAAGCTATTTGATTTAAAATTTTTAGATCAGTTGAGTGTTTCGTTGATTGAGATTTGCCTGTTTTGCTAAAATAAATTTATTTTTCTTGATTCAATGAAAAAAGTCATTTCGACTTGAACACCAATTTCGCATTTCAAAATTTAGTTGGAAAAAGTATTGTTGATATCTGTATTGAAATGTTGCTTAACAAGAATCAAAATCATGAAATGAATCTGTTTGATGAATAGTTATAAATTAGGATTTAAATGTTGAGGTGCGACAAAGCAAAACAGAAATTGAAACTGTTCTTACCTGGCTCTTTCTTGTTTCATTCGTTCCAACTCTCTTTTTTTGGTTTCAGAAAATTGAGTTGCAATCACAACCAGGCATAGGTTTATCATGAAAAATGAACCAATCTTGAAATAAACAAAACAGAAAATTTTAATTTTAAAAAGAAACCCAAAAATTCAACAGCTTTTTTGTTAAAATGTCAATCTCTAATCAATCTGATCCTGTCAAACTGATTTTAAATTTTGCTCATTTGAGTTTTCAAAACTTCATCAATTCCACGTCGAATTCAGCTAACGGTTAATTTCAGTTTTAAATATTGAATAGCCAATCGCAAAGACTTCAAAGTTACCAAAAATGTGACCATTTACATTGGATAACAAAAAGGTGAATCTTTCGGTTCAATTGGAACCAAATTTCAAGGCATAATTTGTCAGATTATTTGTGAAACTCGATTTCAATAAATCTTCATCTAAACTGCCATTTAAACTTGAAAACTGATCCTTTTACCAAGTCAGTAAAATGAAATTGTGTAAATCGTTTCGAGAAAATTAATCGATAAAATCGTTTCTTTTGAATAAATCCCTTGTTTATCAACCTAAATCTATCCTTGATTGAGTAAAATGTTGAAGTTAACTGAAAAAATAGTTTCTCTATTCTGTTGCTGTTCTTCCTGTATCCAAAGGTAAATGGGTTAAGGTGAAGTTAACCATTAACATTTGATACTTACCACAATTAATAAAACAAAGTAAAGCCAATCCCAAAAGGAGTGAGCATCTTGAACATAATACATTATCTCTGTCCAACCTTCTAATGAGATAACAAGAAATATTGCTGTCCAAGCCATTCCAACATTATCAAATGACATTGCACCTTGGAAAGGGTTTTTATCTCCATGTTTACATTTGGTATAATAGCGATTCCAATTAACACACCAAGTTTCATTGGGTTTATTATCAGAGAAGGGAACTGCTTCACCCAAACATTCTTGTTTACCAATTTTAGCCAAAGGAAGATTATCACACCTGTGCATACCATGATCCTTATCAAGACTGCAAATGTAATCTTTTTCTGTGTCAGCCATCACCTGATAATGAGATGTTATTGGACTTGAAGTGGAGAGAGACAAACAGAGAAAACAAGAAAATGCATTATTCTTCTTCTTAATCTTGATTCAGGGAAAAAAAGATTAAGATTATGCAGACCAAATGAACACCAAAAGAACACATGAAAAAACTCGAAAATGCATAGACATTGAACATTCATCAAAACGGGTTGACATTGGGAATGCAAAATATTGACAAAAAATGATGAGCAAAAGTGCATTTGCAAATTGAAAGTTAAAATTCGGTTGCAACAAAATAAACAAGGAAATGGTGAAAAAAGTAAAACCAAATTATTCTGTTGATAAATCATGATATTAAAAATGAGTAAGTGCAAGGTATTGAGGTGAAAATGCAAATATTCAAATGAAATAGCAAAGTTTTTTTGTTTTTTCTCGAAACTCGAACCAATTCTCAAAGGTAAAGATTCATTTGTAAAAGATTACAAATGATTTCACTTCGATTTTTATCGATATTAGCTTTTTTACGATTTGGCATTTCATTTGATTCCAAGTTTCATGCAATGTGAAGTGAGTTTGTGCAAATGATTCAATCCCTAACTGAATGACCACAAAGTTGATTAATATTTAAATTTCATTCTAATTTGGTTAAAAGTTTGGAACTTTTTTGTTCCATTGAAAATTTGATTCATTTGATTAAACAAATTTAGAAGATTGAAGAGAGAAAAATGTAAACAGACGAAAACAATGGATAATGAAATGGATAAAAGATGAAACTTTGATGATCATTTTCATGATAATATTGGCTTGGAAAACATCAATTTATCCAACGATTAAAGGTTGAATAGCGAATTGAGAGAACAATGAAAATGATGAGATGAAAATTCTGTGAGGAAAAAGGTAAAGTATCTCAAGGATGGACTGACTAACTTGAGAATCATTGAGAATTCATCTTTAACTTTTTTTTCTTTTCTCTTTCATTCTTTTTTCAGGTTCAACATTAACCTGATTCTGGTTAGGTAAAGGAAAGGTAAAGAGAAAGGTTTTGTTTGAAAGTAGCAAAATGTTGAGTTAAAATGAGAAAAGTAAATATCATTTGATTAATAGAAACTAGTTGTTTTTGCTTTTTCAAACTGTTCAAAAGGTAAAAGGTAAAAGTTTAGTTTACAGTTAACTGGATAATATGCATTAAAGGTAAAGAAGGAGGAAAGTTGAGAGGAAAAAAAAGGAAAAGGAAAAGTTTTCTGTAATAAAAAAGAGAATCGAGAGGAAAAGTTCATCTTCAATTGTTCATCATTTGACAATTTGTTTTCATTGTCTAAAACTGAATATATTTCAGAATATTGTTATTTCCGAAGTAAACTTTTATACTCAACTAAATCGATTTCAAACTGCTTTTACCTGTCTTTTATTGCATCTCTCTTTTGTTCATCAACATCATCTTCTACATTGTACAGCTCTTATTTAAATTGAAACTCAAATGATAATTACATCAACAGAATCAACTTTTCCTTTCGAGTTTCGAAATTTCTCCAAAAGGTTAAATGAAAGGTTACAGCCAAAGTCAAATTAGTATTTGTAAATGACTTTGAGTCAGACTGCTCAATGATAGTTGAAGATTAATTTTCAAAACATTATTAGGCTTAGACTTAAAGATTATCAAAATTTAGTGGAAATTCATTTTCTTCTGAGGTTTAGAGTTGACTTTACAACCCTTTAAACATTCAATTTAGCATTTGTAAGCCAGTTGAACTGCACAAATGAAGAGCAATGTCACCAATTGAACAGCAAGAACAAGCAGCATTTTTAGCACAATTTTTGAAATTTTTAGACGAAATTTTAGATGAAAGGGAAAGGGAAAATTTTAGAGTAAAACATAAATAAAATTAACACAGGCCATTATCAAGAATAAAAATTGACCTCATTGAAGTCAAACACTTGCCAATACAATCGTTGAAAAAATTAACACAAAATAGGAATAGACTTGATCACTCTTTGATTTACACAAAAATGAGAAAAGGAAAAGGAAAAGATGTAAAATAATATTAGATAACAGATAATCTTATCAGGGTTTGCTGCTTAATTGCAATCTGTATTTAGGCAACAATTTTTAATCCATTACAATTGATCGAGAGATTCATTAGCTTTCATAATAAATATCGAATTCTTGGATTTTCTGATGCGGTTCAAGTAAATGTCAAGAACCATGAGATAGCTCAAGTCTCGAACGAAATTATATTCTTGATTCTGTCAGAATTTCGAGCAGATAGTCGATTTTAGTCTTTTAATAGTCCATTTTTGTAGCGAAGCTGATTTTCGAAAGAATTTAGAAATTACTCTGTAACTCTATTGCTCTACTCTATTTTTCCGATTCTTAATTTACTTTAACTATTACATATGAACTAAAAATGAATTTTGAACTGATTTAGACTTCATTTTTCGACGTTCAAACGGTTCGATCGAAATTTTCAATTGCAGATGAAATCTGATTTATGTTATTTTTCGAAATTCGAAATGAAAAAATGATTATTTTCTCATTACTTTACTAATTACCGTGAAATTCGGATGTTGATGAATATTAATCACTGAAGGCAATTATCTGTTTTTTGCTCTTCCATTTGTAAATAACACCGATTTGATTAAAGAAGCAAAAAAGTGTTGTAAGTTCTGGAATGGATTTGCAACGTGAAAAGTTATCTAAAGCAATTTGATATTTCCATTTATCATTTAGAATAAAAGAGCAAATAAAAAGGCAAAATTTTCATCATCATTATTCAGCTGAATTCTCAGATTATTTCGTTATTTAGACTAAACTTGGCGCAAATTAACGTTTCAGTTTCATTTTTTATAAGAGAAAAAATGTTTTCCTTTCAAAATTCTTATTCATCCCAAGAAAAGAAGAATAAAGGTGAAAAGAAGTTCAATTCTATTTTCATGAGTTAAAATTGAATGAAGAAGAAGAAAACTAAAAAGAAATAAAAAAGGAAAACAAAATTCCAAATATCGCTGGAAAAAAGTAAAGAAAAAGATAAAAGGTTGGAATCAAATTATTTTCTTATTCTGATTGGGATTTTCAATTGAAATGGTGGACAGAATAGAAAGAGATAAATATATTTAACAGAATTCCATCTTTTGATAAGCCTTTTTTATTCCAATTCAAGTTTACTCTTTAGCACATTGAAATGGAAACTCGAAGCTTCTCTGAATAATGAGGATAAACTGAGCAGAGAAAAGTTTCAATTGGAAATTTACTTTTCCAAATCAATTTCAAGCGTTGTTGGTCCAATAAAGGTTAATTCATTCAGGGAATGATAAAACTCCAAATTGAAACTTTTCTTTTTCTTTCAACTTTTCTTCTCAACCTTTTCAAAAATGTTTCTCAATTGGACATGATTGTTATCCTGTTGATAATAATGATGAAAGTGAATAAAAGCAAGTTTGATTTGAAATGTTTGGTGAAATGTGATTGTCAAAAGAAAATAACATGATAGAAAAAAAGAAAACATGAAAACATCAACATGAAGAGGGAATTTATTAGAACAATTCAATTTTTGATTCACAAACAATTCCTTGGAATGAAAATTCCGAGAAATAATACAAATCCAAATATAACAAGATGGGAAACTGTAAGCTATCAGAAGCATAACAAAAGTTTTCATTCAAGAGATTTATAACAAGTTTGAAGAAAGCCTTTTGACTGTTGATATTTGGTTAGAATCATTTTTTTTATTCAATTTTGTTGTCAAAAATCATCATCATCAACCTCAATATACAAAGTATTATTATCAATAGTGAAAGACAAAACCTCAAATCAATTTGGAATGAAAAGTTGAAAAGTAAAGGAAAACCCTTTAATCATGAGAAATGTCAATTATTCTGAAGGATTCAAAGGACTTCCAGAAGAGCGAACAAATTTTGATAGAAATGAAAATTTCCAATATCATGATGAAGTGAAATAATTTGAGCAAATTTTCAAACAAAATTGTTTCTCTAAAGTCTAAAGAATCATAAATAAAAGTTTAACTCGAAAAATTCATTTATTCAACATTCAGCATCGAAAGAAAAGCTTATTGAAACAAATATTGATGATTGTGAATCAAGTTTTCACTCGTTTAACTGCAAAATTTGTGGCCAAAGAACTTTTTCAGAATAAATTTTTAGAAACTTTGAAAATGTTTGAAGATTTTGAATTTGCAAAACTCTGGAAATGATAAATCAGAGAATTTGATATTCGCAGTAACACTTTAGTTGCATCTTTAGCAAGCACAATTAGAGATTCGAGAGAAAATAAAAACGAAAATATTGAAACTTCGTTGAACTTGAAATGATAGAAACAAAATTATGACGAATGGCCAAGTCTTTGACGGATGGCAAGCAATAGTAGCAAACATGAAAACACACAGTTGGGAAACAAATGAACAACAGTGAACGTTTACTGATATATCGAAGTAATTATCGAATGCTTACTCGCCCGATTTAATCTTTTCAACAAAATATGTTGACATGTTGTAGTTGCTGATGAACGCAATGGTTTGAACAGAAAAGGATTTGATGTAAATGGAGTTGAAATTAGTAATTAGTTTGGGTTAGTTTATTTTTTTGTGTTTAGTTTTTTGTTTTCAGCTTTTCTGCAATAAATTACAACCTTATTGGTTTTGTTTTAAAACTAATTTACCTTTTTAGGTTAAAATTTTGTGTGCAAAGGTAAAAGGGATGTAAAGCTATCAAAATTAATGAATGTGAACAAGAAATTTTCTCTTCTTTTTGGGTTAACTTTTGTATTCCTTACCTTTCTTGTTCGCACGATGAGATACATTAACATTAAATGTAACAATTTTAATATCTAAATCTAAATTGTTCAATTAATCTTCTATTTTTCATGCAGCTAAGTTTGAATATCTGGAATTGGGAAAAGCTGCAAGTTTCTTTTCATAGCTAAGTCAAAGCTTTTCACTCTTAATGTTTTTGCAAAAGATTCAGTCACTAGTTATTTCGATCTCCGATTGCATTTAACTTGCATTTAAGTTTGAGTCTCTTGATTCGCCGTCTTCTAAATAATGAAACGAAAAACGCCCTTTCAATGATAATTTGGCGTTTTGGCGATGTTTAAAGATCTCTTAAGGCATAAACAGTAAAGTTTTGAATATTTATTTGAATGCATCGAGACAACTTGATTTGCGAACCTCACTTAACCTTAACTGCTTATTTGAAGAGATGAAAGTCGAATATTTTTTCGCTTTAGTTGCTTTTAAGAATTGCGTTTGAATAAGCGATTTTAGTTGCGCAAATCTTTTCTTGGTGCAAATATTAGTATATCTTTCTGTGTTAGTTATATAAAGAAATAGATTGAATGTGAAAGGTAGTGTTAAGGGACTTTTTCGGTCGTTTATGATCATAATTATGCAAATCAAACTCGATCAAATTGAAGTTTCTGCTTCGAACTTTGTTCAAAGATTTATTGATTATGCCTTAAGTGTTTTGAAATCTCACAAAAGACTATTAACTTGACTTAAACTTACATTTTGACCAATATTTGGCTATTGAGATCAAAATAACTAGAGTTGACTGATGCAAGTTTATCTGACTGTTGAAGGAATAAGGTTTTGAATAAAGTGTTGTACTTACTCGGGCAGTGTAATGTTTTCAGGTAGTTCAAGGAAACATCGTTGTCTCAACAGTCCAGCCCATAATTGAACACCAATAATTCCGAAAATAAAGAATACAAAAAAGCATAAAAGTAGGACATTTCCTAGCATAGGAAGAGTATCCAAAAGAAGCATCACCAAAATTCTCATGCCTGTAAAGAGAAGAAAGAAATTGTTGGAAATTGAATTGGAATGGAAAGAAAAGCGAAAAAGGAAACGAAAAATAAGATGAAAACACGGAAAAGGTAGCAAAATTGAATTGGTAACAAGAAATTGTGATTGTCGAAAGCATGCAGAAAAAAGTCGAATAATTGTATAAAATACAATGGAATAAAAAGAGTAAAGGAAATTGGAACAAATGTTGACCAGACAATCACAATAGTCAATTAAAAAACGAAATTAATTGACAGCAGAAACAAAATCGAAAGCAATTCATCAACTTTCGCTTTGCACGAGATTTGAGCAAAGGTTCAATGTTAGGTTAAACTCACTTGGAATCCTGTTGATGGCTCGCAATGGACGTAAAACTCGAACAGTACGAATTGCAGAAAGATTGATATTCCCAACCAAATTGATATATTCTAGACCACTAATGATGCAAAGTGTGAAAGATTAATTAGAAATGAATTTTGTTCTTTAACGTGTTTACTCTTGTTTAATCATTATCATCATCATTAGAAACTTTGAATTGGCCAGTAAATTTGGAAAACTCAAACACTGTTGACTAAAAGTTTCATTAACATTCATTATTCAGATTGTAAAAGTGTTTTTATTTTCATGATTAATTGAATGAAAAAGAAGAAAGAGAAAGCTTTTCTCGTTATTAATAACCTTTAATGGAAAAGGATTTCGCGTAAATGACCGTTGATTAATGAAAATTCAAATTATCCAAATGTATTGAACTCTCAAATTAATCATTATTTTCCATGAAATGCAACTCGAAAGAGGAATTATTTTGCTCCTTTTCCCAGTTTCACTGTCATTAGTCATTAATAACTTTGCGATCAGTAATTTTCTTGTTTTGTCAAAGTTAACCTTTTTCAAGCTTAACCATGATTTACCGTGAAAGTGACAAAATAATCAAATCCATATTATCATGAATGTCTGTTTTATTACTTGGAATACAATTATTGTTTCAATTAAACGCAGAGAATAGCTAATATCAGCACTTTTGTTGCACTTTTTTCCCTCTACATTGTATCAAAACTTGATGATTGCAATGTTTAATTGAATTGTCATCATTCATGTTCAACACTGGAATGTCTTATGGTCACTTTGATTGTCGATAATTCAATTTAGTTTTCTCTCATGTCTCAATTTCGTTTGATTTCTCGAGACTTTTACTGTTGTCTGAACCAACTTATTGTTTATTAGATAAAAAATTCGCTCTTTGGTTAATTGCTTTGGAAGTGATGATAATTTCAGTGAAACTTGTCCAGCTTCGTTTAGACTTTTGAATTGAACGAATTAATAAATGAAAGGAATGAAACTAAATCAAGATTGCTGTTGTAAACTTTTTTGAATGAAATTGTTTGTCTAAACTTATCAAATTAGATTCGTAATTCGAAGGTAAGGTTAATGTCTGATGTTTCAGTCTAGACCTATCATGATTCATTTGATTTTCATTTGAAGAAAATTAGTTGAGATGAGCAAAGTTGTTGATCAAAATTGCGATTCGCTTTTTTCAAGTTGAATACAATTCTCTGCAATTTGTGTGTTTTCACTGTAAATTGCAAATGATTAAATTTCAATTCAAGTTGTTAACTTTCTAACCAAGCATTTAACTTATTTCTCTCATTCTCTGCCTTTTTATTAAAATAATGTGGATTTGTGAACTGAATAAGCAAAATCTTTTCTTTCGTTTGAAATGAGAAAGTTGAGCAAATTTAAAATTTCAGATAAGTTGAATTTCGAAGCTGTTTGTTACCATAATCACAATTGAATTGGTTTATTTCCTTTTGAATTTCACGATAATCTCAATTTGATCCGGCAAAAAGTGGACAGCAAAGCATTTCTCAATCCCAGATGAAAATAGAGAAACAAGAAAAGGATAAAACAAAAGTTGAACCGTAAATGTCAAGAGTTTTGAAACTCGAAAAGTAAATTTTGGAATAAGATGAAATTGAAAAGCAACTTTCGTCTCTTTTTGTTCCAATCATGAAATGAATTTAGATCTTCCGGAAGTTTTACACAGCAAACAATTTGCTGCAAATGCACTTAAGCTGTGGAATCTAAAGCCAAATTGTTCTTTACAATTCGATTCTAAAGCAATGATGAACTTTTACCAATTATTTAGAGTTGAAGTTGACAATGAAAAGTAAATGAATATCAGGTGAAATAATGAGAATTTTGTCAAGAGAAAAAAGAATGTAAACATGAAAGTGCGAAGAAAAGTTAAAAATTAATGACATTATTAATGATATCACAAAGAATATTTACACAGACGAGTTATTGATAAATTTGGGAATGAACAAGTTTCCATAATTTACCTTAAAGGTATAAAACTACGATTTTACTGCTTCGATTTTTCTCCTCTTCTCCATTCTTTGCGATCTTTTCACTAATTTTGGTTACTATTTTGTCTGAACCTTGTTTAGTCTAACTTTTATGGTTAACTAATGCCTTTAAGGTTCGGTAATAAGAAGCAAACTGAATGGAATCAACATGTTACTTGAATGTTTAGAAACCTTTAGAAGCATTTGAAACCTTCAATAATGCGATATTCAATTAGACTTTTGAATGCACAAAATATGTTAACTGTTAATTTAGTAGCTTCATTGACGATGTTGATCGAGTTAGGCAAGCTGATTTATGGAAAGCTGATTGTCGATCTTTACAGTTCTTGTTTCGATACTTTCCTTCAATTTTGATTTCGCTAATAAGCTTTTATGGATATAATTGCTTCTTTTCTTGTTGCATTGATAGTTTAACTTGAAACTGTCCATTTTCAAGTGAAATATGTTCTAAGTTGTTGAATCTTTGTTCATTTGTCTGGCATCTTTAGTCGTTCTTTGTTCACTTGACTGATGTGTTCAATCTGAATGTAAGCCAATCTGGAGTAAACCATGAAATTAGGTTCATCACGGCTCAATGAGAAACTATCAACAGTTGAACAAACATCAAGTCCAGTCTATCATTATCATTGTTAACAGTGAATGATGAGCTTTCCATTGAGCTACCATTCTGGTTGAACTTTGCATTGACTATAACAGTTGATCAATCAATCAGTTGTAAAGCCAACTCTCGACAAATTGTAGCTGCAATAATATCAATGTTGCAAAAATGATTGAAAGAAAAAGAAAAGGCAAAATGCTAGTTAGTAAAAGAAACGAGGAAAACTTTTTTCAGGTAAAAGGTATTTAGAGGTAAACAAAGTCATGAGTTTTAGTGAATAGCCAGCAGGGAAGAAAAGACGATAAAAGAAGGAAAAAAGGTAAAGTTGAAACAAGTCTGAATTTCCCAGGTGAATCAATTTTTGCCAAGTAAAAAGCATATCCAAGTAATATTGATGGTAAAATAGGAAGAAAAGGTGAGCTTTAAATATGGAATGGATGATGAGTGAAATGAGAAGAAGATGCCAAAGAAGAGATAAAATGGAAAACCAAAGACAAATCGTGAAGACAGGTTGAAGTAAGAAGAGGAAGGAGAAACAAAGCTCGTCTTACGTGATGAAAATGCATTAAAGTGAGAGTCGATTGTGACAGGTTTGTAACAACCATTAACACTTTTTGTTATTTTTGTTTCGTCTTTTCATTCATCTCTTCCTCATCTTTACTCATCACTCTTTCCCTTTCACCTTTCATCCTCTTCAATGTTCACTTTTCTTCTTCTCATTACACCATTGCATCTATTTTGGTCACTTGTGATTCATGAACATTCATGAGCAACTCCAAAGGCTGAAAGGGTAAAGAGTATCAATCAACATTCAATTAGTTTAATATTAAATGTCTTTATTTGAATAAACTTGCCATCAACAGCTCATCATGTTCATCATTTTTTATCGATTTATTATGTTAACCCATTCTATCCAATATTTTGGACTCTTTTTTATTCCCTTTAACCATTTTTTTATCATTTAATCTCTTCCTTGCTTCTCTCGTTTCATGAGAAAATTGAATAACTTTTCGAAACCTGGGAGTGAATCTTATTGATAATATCAACTCCCAGGTAACTTGCATTATCTATTATTGATGGAACAGAAAAATTGAAAGAAAAGTTTCCTTGATATATTTTACCATTATTTTGTAGCAATAATTTATCTTGACCATTTACCTGATCGTCCATTTTTAGTCTTTTCGTTGCTCCTTCAAACTCTCATTTAATCAATATTTTTCAACTCAAAATGATATTCCAAGATTGTTATTATCATTATAAAGATTATTTTTATTCTCATTGTTATCCTTGACTTGGAAATTGTTTTTTCATATTTTGCTCTCTCTCTCTCTCTCCAAGTTTCGGAAGTAGATTGAAAAATTCCAACAATTTTTTCGGTGAAAATCTTTTTGTCATGATATAGATTGGCTTTTATTGAACAATATTGATAAGAGAAAATTTTTGATCGAAAAAAAAGAAAAGATGAAATTTCCATTCAAGCTGGACTTGATGACCGATAATCAATTACATTGAAAAGCATCATGAATAATATTCTTGCCTAAAGGTCAATTCCATGGAGAGGGAAATGAAGAGTGAAAAAGAAAAGTCGGATTTTCGCTTTTCAACATCAACTTTTAATGGAAAAGAAAAGCAGAGAATGGAGTTTACAAGAAATGAAGAATAATGTCAATTTGTTATTGCTCAGTGCTTCAGGTTATTCAAAAAAATATGAAAACGGAATAATCGGAAAATGAGGAAATTTCTTTTTTCTCTTTCAAGCGCCAAATTAATGATTGGTTGGGCAAAGAAGATTGAATGATGGATTTTGGAATCAACTTGAAATTTGTTCACATTTTGCATCAACAGTTGACTCTATTGTTGGAGTCGAGTCAAGTTTATCATGATCAACTTGAAACGCTTTTTTGTCGCAAACAAAAAGCGTAACATGAAATGGATTATTATTTGAGAATCAACAATGAATGACAAAAATTTCAAAATGGGTTAAGACTTGTTCATGTAGAGACAAGAAAATAATAACATATCAAGTGCATTGTAACCAGTAGAGTTCAAAGTTGAATAAAGAAAATCTTTAATCGATTGTAAGATTATTTTTTTCTCTTCTTTTCCTTTCTTCCCTGACAAACCTTATCGTCTTTACCTTCTCATCATTGAACCAATTTTTCCTTTTCTGTCCTCTTCATGAACCTGCTTCTTTCAACCAGCAAAATTGATTGAAAGTCAAGATTTGAAATTCAAAAGACAACCTCGAAACTCGAGTTTACGACAAGCAAGAAAAAACTTAATATTTATCACGACAAGGAGAACGAAAAAAAAGGTAATCTCGATTTTTTTTAATAAACATTTTTCGCCTTCTAAAGTCTTGACTTTTGGTTATGATTAAACGATAATCAAGGTGAAAATCAAGTCGAGAATGTAATGAAGAATAGAGATTTAGCGTTGAAATGTCGAGTAAAAAATGAAAAGGAAGAAAAAGGAAGGAGAAAAAAAGTTCTGTAGAAGCTCATTTTAACCTCATGAAAAAAAGCAAACTGTTGAGAGAAAAGAGATTAATGTTGTTTTCAGAATTGAATTAATGTTAAGGAAAGAGAAGCGAGAAAAAAGTGCAATTTTTCTTCTTTTTTTAGTTCGAAATTTCGTCTCTCTTTTGTGGCTTTTCAATGGAGAGAAAAAAGTTTTTAAATTTTTTTCTTCGCCAAATATTTTCTCCTCCAAGAATTGACTCAAAGATTTGGCGAGTTTTTAAACCAATGATGATGATAATTTGAAAAGAGAGTTGCAATTATCAGATTTCAGTTGAAAGGTTAAGGTTCTCTTACCCTGCAATGACAATAAAAAAATCAAGTCTATTCCAAGTTTCCGATAGATAAGCTCCTTTTGATCCTCTGATTCCCATGGCAGTCATTTTGATGAACATTTCAGCAGCAAAGAAGAGAAATATCATGTCATCGAAAACTTGAAGAGCTTTACATTGTGACCGATGGCAAACTTCATCGACACAGGGTTGATACATTCCAAGAGTTATACAGTTCAACAGGATTGCCATCATGCTGATTCGCTCAAACCATGTGTAACCATAACATGAAAAGAAAAATGATGAACAGAGAAAAAACGAAAAGGCAAGTTTCGAGTTAAGGAATTTAGGATTTTCCACAACGTTTCAATAACACTGATGATATCAACGAACTTCTTCTTCTTTAATTTGCAGTTACTTACCAGCATTACATCTTTTCCAATTCATCATTCAACTTTAACTTTCGTTCATTCATCTTTTCATTTTCTCATTGAAAACCATAATCATTATCATCTTTGATTTCAATGGAAGAAGGAAAACGTAAAAACTCTGACATTTCAATATTACTTTATGATGATCATTGTAATGATAATGATTAAAAGGAAAGATAAAAATCGTAATAAAAGTAAATGGATTTGATTCCATTGAATTGACCATAAAATAACATTGCCTCTGAATCCTTTTTTTCACATTTTCTTGTATTACTTCCCACTGTTGACTGTCTATTATAGCTACTTGATGATATAACTTGACCAATTTAGTTCTGGATTCGGACTCTGATTTCTTTCAACAGAAAATAGAAAAGAAAATCATTTCTCTTCTTTTGTTTCCAGTATAAAGCAAGACAATTTTCTGTTCAGATGAAAGGATAATATACTTTAGTGTTTATTTGCCAATTATGACCAAACATTACATTTGCCAACACGAATCATTTGTTGACCTGTTGAGTGGTTGAGACGAGTTTGGGAAAGCTTTGAATTGCATGAGCTCATTAGTGCCAAAGTCGAGAAAATGGTAATTTTCGATTTTCTTTTTGCGTTTCAAAGTCTACTTTAAGATTAAACAGAATTTCAAATTTCAAATTTTCTTTCAGTTTTCATCATTTTTTGGCAGAATAAGCAATTTCTTTTGAAAAGCTTGAATCGACTTTTATTTTTTTCATGTAAACCTGACAAAATCCCTGCAATCCTCTTGACTATTGATGATGAACATGAAAGGATAAAAATTGTAAACTTTTTTCTCTTTTTGCTTTTGTCTTTTCCAGTTCAATTTTTACCTGGAATATCATGAATTTTGGCCTCTTTCGAGTGTTCAAAGGATTTAATCTTTTAACATTGATGGTTCAATAGAGAATTGAAATTATTACATGGTAATGAAAAGAAATTATTCATTCCTTGGAACATTTTTTTCTTCTTCTCTTTTTTCTTCAAGTTATTTTATTTCATGTAAGGAAAGGGAGAGAAAAATGCTGACATGTTTTATGATGTCGAAGATGATGATGAAGATGAAGGAAGAGAGAACGGAAATCAGGTAAATAAGAAAATGTTTACTTCTTTTCTTTCTGTCAGAACTTTTCTGGTTTTCAAGAAGAGAGAAGAAAGTAAAGGGAAGAAAAATTCATGTTTGATTCAGTTTAGAATTTTGGAAAATATTTTGTTCGAAAAGAAGAAGAAAAATTTCAACTTTTCAAATAACCAAGTAAAGTGAAAGAAAATGGTGAGAATTAATGGTTACAGAAGAAAACATGGAATATGATTTGAAATTGAAATTCATGCAACAGTTCAGGAAATGACGAGTTCAAAGAGATGAATGAGAATGGCAAGAAAATGTTTTCCAGTTGAAATATGGAAAAATTTCATTTTCTTTTCCTTCCAAATGATTAAACGATTCTGACTTGCAATATAAACGATTCATGATTGGTGTCAAACAAGAGGCTGACAATGAGTCCAATTAGCAAATAAAGTTATCAGAGTTTTCATGAAATCTATTGAAATCATTCAACTTGTAGCTCGAACCATTTCGCAAAACTAAAGTCCAATAAATTCTGAGGGAAGGAAAGTGATTCTAATTCAAGTTAATCAACAGTTTTGTTTCGTCAGCAACTTTGTCTACAAAAAGGAAGAACATGAATTTCCACATTTTAATGGAATTATCAGTTCATTGAATTTACTGAGGCTACAAGTTGCGGTCAAAAGGTCAACAAGTTTTGAAGGTTGTTTCAATAAAAATTACTCCCAGCTTCAAATTTTGTTGGAGTTGAAGAAAAGTTGAAATTGTTTTTTCATCACTTTCTTGTAATATAATCAATATCGTGAATTCAAGATTAACTTGCAATTCTGATTCTCGATGAGATAAATATCTCTGGAGACATTTTGATTCATCAGTTTTTCACTGTTTCCCTCACTTTTCTTAGCATTAAAGTCACGTAGGTAAACAGGTTATGCATGCTATTGCGCTCAGTCCAGTTCCATCTCTTATCAACTGGAAACATTTAACCGAGAAGAGTAAATTCATCAATTGATATGACGACAATAAAACGATAAAAATAAACTAAATGACATCTTTGATTCAATCATCTCAATTCGTTTGTCATTTTGTTGTCTCATTCAGCATAAGAGTCAAGTTAATGGAATAGCTTAACAAATTTCGCCTCATTTTAAGTTCATTAAGTAACAAATTTTGTTCTTGAAAATGTCAAAACTCATTTTCCGAAACGCTTCGAAAGCAAAGACATAATCTAAAGGAATTTTATTTACTTAATCTCGACAAAATAATACGAAAAATATATCAAATAAAGTTTGAAATTTTATTCTAATCTTGATTTTGAGGAGATCATCGAACTTTTGATAATTTTTTTCATTTTTTCGTTTATAAATCAATTTTACATTGAAGACAAAGGACTATGGTCGCAAATCCTCACTTTTGAGTTAAGCTCTCAGGCTTCGTAGGCTGATAGGGGCTAAGATAAGAATACTTTTTATGCATGAATTTTTTCTTTGTGATCAGCAGTTTTTGAGAAAATCAAGGTCAAAGTTCGGAATTCGGACGCGTTTTTCTCAGCTTCTGGTACTATCTATGCTTTGATTTTTTATATGCAATCTTATCTTTTTGAGTACTATTGAAAAATATTATAATAGTTTTCCTAACTCTATCATAACATGGTAAACCAGAACGAAGGGGCTATTCATACGAAACAGGTGTGCACAAAACTGATAAGGTCTGGTGGGCTGATTCTCCGTATTTAAGCTTTTCATCAAAATTGTAGTTCGGCTAATCGAAGGTTTTTTCGATTTCATCAACCTTTATCTCAGAACAGAGGTCATCATTATGAAATATAAGTATCAATAACTCATGAACTACATTACTTAGAGGTACCATTATTGAATAATAACATATGATTTCAGTTGGCGTCAATGTCAAAAAAACTCTCAAGGTCATTCAAGGTCATTTAGAAAAAATCAATTTAATATGCATACTTATATACTTTATAATATCATATAAGATTTTCAAAAGGTTTCTCAACAACGAATACGATAGTAGAAGAATGCTAGCTGTCGTGAATGTAAGTTACATTAGCATCAAAAAAGTTTATAAAGATTATCATACTCACCGCACAAGTACACAAACTCGTTCAAACAAATGCCAATTGTACCCTTGATGTCGAGTTTCGTTTCTCTTCACACAATAGATCTTCAAGTGAGAAGTAGATTTCAACCATTTTGCCTGCGTTGAGGTCACAACATAGGTCATTCTGTACAAATTCAAACAAATGCCAATTGTACCCTTGAATGGTTAAATCCTTGATGTCGATGACAAAAAAATAACGAGGGTGAGGTCATAACGATCAATCGCTCTGATTTTTGTCTTGTTATGCCATAGACATCTTCTACTATCTATAATACCTTTGTTACTATCCTAGAATGACCAAATAGATTTACAAGGGAAACCCTTTTCGTGAAAACCTTTCCATTTGCCTTTTCCTCAAACTAAGCGTTTAAAGGCTGATATTAGCTGTTGGTAAATGGAGCCCATTTTATGCCTCATAATAATCAGTTAATCAAATAACGATTTGAAAGTTAACAATTAACTTAATGTCAATATAATTCATCTTAATCATATTTAGTTGATAATTAGTTTCTTTAAATTGGAAAATTTTCTCGCTTCAAACGAAAGAAAAGCGAACAAGAAAAAAAATCTTTTAAACTCATTACATGATGTTATAACAAAATGATTCTTATTTGCTGAAAAATAATTCATCCATGATAATTAATATTAATTGTAGCTCATTGCTGAACCATTTTGTAAATTGAAAAATTGAGTTTGGAAAAAAAGCGAACAGAAAAGGGAAAAAAGGCCAAAAAAGACTGAAAATGTTGACAAGAGTAAAGAAGTGAAGAGAAATGAATTTCATTTTTTCTTATTCTTTACATGAGTGAACACATTTGTAATGAGCTAATTGGTGAATGTGATTTTTCAAGGTAATGTTCATTTCGAAATTTCGAAACTCTTTTTCTGTCGAAAAGTTGTTTTGATTCTTCCAATGGAAATTGAATGTTGAGAGTTAATTAATATCATGAATAAAAGTGGAAATTGTGATTGACAAAAGACTCGACAATTTTGCCAAATTTTCATTCTTTTAATCTTTTCTCTTTCATTTCTTATTAATGTTCAGATATTTATGAGCAACATTTCAATATATAATTTCCTGTTGGCTGATTCTTTCAACTGTTCAAAGTGAAAAGTCGAGTTTCATCATTACCAAACGATATAAGCTAAAGTCGAAGTTTATCAAAAAGAAAAGTTGAAAGGTTTTCCAATATCTATGCATATATTGAATTTATATTCATGAAGATTCAACAATCATGATAAGTAAAGATTAGATTCATTGGTATTCTCAGGGAAGGAAAGGAAAGAAAAGGGGAGAAAATTGTTGTCGAGATATTTTGATTATCGGTTCGAAACTGTTCTTCCAGGCAATATTGATATTAACATTTAGATTAGGGCAAGATTATTAAATGAAGAGAATGGCTGAAATAATCATTTTCATTGCAAGAATATTTTTCATTAATTGTCTTCAGGCTGTTGTTCAGTGAACATTATTGCTATTCCGAGTTATCTGCTCTTCAATTCGCTGATTGTGAAACAAAGAATAAAAATAGATAAAAATGGTTATTTTGTGTTTGCTTTCAATCTAGATTCCCAATCGGATCAATAACATTGCGAGTTTTGAATGATAATATGAAAAAAACGAAAAATTCTGATGAGAAAATGATCTTTCTATTATTGAAGTTGACCTCGTCTTTCAATGCCATTGTTATGCAGTTCAAATCTTTCCAGTAAATATTTAACTTGTAGCTTGAACTTTGAATGTTTGAATCGACAAGTGAATAGAAAATTCAAGTTAAAAAATCATTTACAATTCAATAAAAGTTTATTCACAATTTTGAGAGATTTTTTCATTTCGTTGGAAATAATTGTTCAAGTGAACTGCCAAAATGACTAATGTTGAGCATTTTTACTGAATCACAGTTGAATAGAAAATCATTTTTACCAAGAAATGCAATTTTCAGAGAAAAATTGTTCTCTTCAGACGAAACTTATCAATTCCCAGAATTGAAGATTGTCAAACTTGTCATTGTTTTCAAACCATCATTTAATTCATTTTTGCTCATCTCTTGATTAATAGCAAAAATATTTCATTCGAAATTAATCTCTGAATTTTCTTGGAACTTGACTCAAAACTGAATGATCTAAAAAATAAGAAACAAAATAATGTTATAAGTTGATCATTAACAGACTTTGTACAAAATGTAAAGAGTGAAGAATAGAGAGAAAAGGAACAAAAATTGAATTCAGGTTTAGCATAAATAGATATTCTTTTGATGATGATCATCATAATTATCATCTGCTACTAATGTAAAAAGGTACTTATAGCGATATTATATCAAGACTGTGTTGAACTGGGAGGGCATGGCTACTGGGAGGGAAGTTGAACAAGAAGGAAATATTAAAAAAAAGGTGAGGTTGGAGTGAAATGAGTTTTGGTTCAAGATGAATCAACATTAGTTGAAAGATGAGGTGACTGAGTAGACAAAATGATCTTTATTGGGTCAAAGTAGATGAACCTTTTCAACAAATTTCTTAACCAAAGTGATTAAAGTTGCTTGTTACTCATCAAACCAGTAATTGAAGTACTTAAGTAACTCCAAATTTTGTTCAACTTTAAATTTCAACTTTTATCTTGTTTACTGTTTAGTTTTACCTAAGGCAGCCTTTCAATGAATCACATGCTACAGGTTAGATCAAGCTGAACACACAGATAGTCCAAATCAGTGAACTCTTTCAATAACAAGCCTAAAGGTAATAAAACTCAATGAAATTGAAATGAACCATTCAGTTTTTAAATTTTACTCAACAGTTTGACAAAAAGAAATGAAAATAATCGAACTTCGAATAATTTTCACTTTTTCAAACTGATCAAAGATTCTAATGGTAAAATAATCTGAAATGCAGCGTTTTCAAATCGATATAATTTTGTAATATTTTTTCTATTCTTCAAATTCTCAACTTTTACGGAAAAAATATAATGTTTAAGCCGAAGAAAAGTTTGGACTTCAATATTTTTTTTTAATTTTCTTTGAAAATTTAAATTTTCTGTTCTAATTCATGCAATTTCGTGTTGAATAAAACATGGAAATTATGGTTTTCAGCTGAGAAATTGTTCTCAAGACTTTGAATAGAACTCGAATTTGCTTTCTTGTTGCTTGAAAAAACATGATTATTCAGTGAGGCTTTTATGGCCAAGAGATTTTTGTCCTTTTTCTTCTGATTTTCAGTCGTTCATGGATTTGCCTTCAAGTGAATATTCAAGATTTGTTGACCGACAAGAGTTTACTTTGCCAGTTTAATGCATTAAAAAAACAGTTTTTTTC